AAATTAACCCAAATAATTATGAAAATAAGCATAGAAGAAAGTTCAATACTTGAAATAAATAAACTGATTTACATTAATGTTTAAACACCTCAAAATCTTTGATTTCCAAAAGCTTCGATTACCTTCACCAAGGAGAAGAGTCTAGTCGCTCATGGCAACCACCATAGCTAGAGAGAGAAAATAATGTTGCCTTCTATGAGAATAATACCTAAAAATCCCCGCCCTAGTCTCGCTAAGTTTCTATTTATACAAGGTGTCTATTTCCTAAAAAGGGTACATAATATTCTCTCCTCTTTTGGTAGGTCGGTGTCTTTTTCGGCAAATCACGCAAGTTTTGTTTCTTTCTGCAGCATCGTTGTCTGTTTCTACGGATTTCAGCATGCCCGCGCCTTTAGGTCCTTGTGCTTCTATGTCTGTCGTATTAGTGTGGCCACGCTTCTATTCTTGACGTGCCCATGCTTCGGTGTTTTCGAGTGGCTGAATTGGCTCGATCGTAAATTCTCTTTATATGATTCTTTTAACGTCATTTTTCAATCGGTTCCACACCTAGCATATAAAATACAAAAGAGACTTAATTTTTATCATTTAGACATCTCAAAATAGTAAAATGTAGGGGAATTTAGCAATCCAAACATATGTTTTAAGCATTATCAAGAAGAAAGACAATTCATGAAGAATGTGTGTGGATTATATGAAGCTCAATTAAATGACTATCAATGATCAATTCCTTATTCCTATCATTGAAGTGCTTCTAGTTGAATTGTAAGGATCAACCGTATTTTTGAAATTAGATTTGAGGGTAAGATATCATCAAATTAGAATGTTTTTTCTAACATTTCTAAAACAACTTTCGAACACATAATGGTCACTATGAGTATTTGGTTATGTCCTTTGCGTTAACCAATGCTCCTAATACATTTCAATCATTGATGAATGATATCTTTAGACCTTTTCTTCAAAAATTCATCCTAATATTTTTTTTGATGATATTCTTATTTTTAGTAAAACTTTGCATAAGCATACTCATCATTTGAAAACAAGCATTAACTCGTGTTGAGAGAGAATTCATTGTTTGCTAAACATTCTAAATGTATCTTTGGCACTCTAAGGGTAGAATATCTAAGAGATTTCATATCTCAAGCGAGTGTTCAAACCGATCCTAGGAAGATTAAAATGATGCAAGTAATGGTTTATTCCAAAAACTCTAAAGCAATTGAGAGGATTCTTGGGTCTTACAGAGTTATTACAAGCATTTTCTAAAAGGATATGGTAGAATAGCTAGACCTCTAATAGAGTTACTGAATAAAGATGGATTTGCATGGAATCCTACTACCGATAAAGCTTTTCTAAAGTTAAAAAAAAGAAAGTAATGGTTACCACTCTAGTACTTGCATTACCTTATTGGAACAAGGATTTTATGATCGAGATAGATGCATTGAGAGGGAATTGGAGCGAGTGTTAACATAACAAGGTCACCCAAATACTTATATTAGTAAATTACTATCTCTTAAACATCAAACATTGTCCATCTATGAGAATGAGCTAATGGCCATTCCGTTTGCTCGTCAGAAGTGACATCGATACTTGGGATATAGGCACTTCATCGTCAAAACAGATCATTAAAGTTTAAAGCATTTGCTAGCACAATAGTTACACACTTCCAAGTCAATCGACTTGGTTAGCCAAATTGATGGGTTGCGATTATGACATTATATGTAAAAAGGGGAGGGAAAATACGATTATTGATGCCCTTTCAATAATGCAATTGGCTAACATTGCTCGTTTCTTCTATTTTCATTGATGTGATGAATAAAATTCATGATTTTTGGAGTTCGGACCTAAGGCTTTCTAGGATTGTAACACAACTACAAAACCCTAGAGGAACACATCTTAAATATGTGTGGCAAGATCAATAGTTACGAAGGAAATGTAGATTGGTGGTGAGCAATGGGAATGAGCTACATAAAGAACTAATCTCATACGTCCATGATTCAACTATTGGTGGTCATTGTGGAATCCATGGCGCTACAAAAAAGTAACAGCTTTATTCTATTGGAAAGGGCTACGCAAGGAGGTGCATGAATATGTATGCAATTGTAAAGTTTGTCAAGCATGTAAGTATGAAAATATGGAAACTCTAGGTCTACTACAATCTTTACTATTACCTCATGCCATATTCACTAACATCACCATGGATTTTATTGAGAGGTTACCAACTTCTCAAGGTAAGTCAATGATTTTTGTGGTTGTGGAAAAACTTACTAAGTATGTCCATTTTATGTCTTTAGCTCATCCTTATTCAAGCTAAAACGAAGGATGTAGTGTTATAGCCAATGTCTATAAATTGCACAGCTTGCCACAAACTATTATTTTGGATAGAGATATAGTGTTCCTCGGCAAGTTTTGGAGGGAGTTGCTTGATTATCAAGGGGTTTCATTATATTTCTCTACAAGCATATCATCCCCAAACTTATGGACATTTAAATGTGGTTAATAGGTGTTTATAAGCATACTTGAGGTGCATAACTCGTTGATATTTCAAATGCTTGGCATAGATGGTCGTGTAGCTGAATTTTGGTATAATACTTCCTTCCATACTTCTATTCACCAAACTCCCTTCAAAGCTCTATACGGTTATCCTCCTCCTATCCATCTACCTTATTTACTTAATGATTATAAGGAAGTAGATGTTAATGAGGTTTTAAAGGATAAAGAGCATATCATTTCAGTATTTAAGTATCACTTGACAAAGGCTCAATAGAGAATGAAAGGGCAAGTTGATAAAACACGTACCGACAAGGAGTTCAACATTAGAGACTAGGTTTATTTGAAGCCGCAACCTTACAAGCGAGAATCAGTAGTTTCTAGGAGGAATCAAAAACTTTCTCCTCATTTTTTCGGACCTTTCAAAGTGATTGACGAGTGGGGAGTATTGCTTATACTCTACAATCGGCTCCTAACTCTCAAATCCATCTTATCTTCCATGTCCCACAACTCAAACTTGTCGTGGGCATGATGCAGTACTGCATTGACTTACCTTTGTCATTAATCGTACCCCCATTTCCAATGGCTATTTTGGACAAAAAAAAAAATGGTTAAAAAAGATAACCAAGTCGCTACTAAGTTGCTACTTCAATGGTCCAATGGAACAACTGCTAAAGCCACTTAGGAGTTTGAATTTGATCCGGAGCATCGCTTTCCTCGGCTTAACCTTAAGGATAAGGATTCTTAAGAAATGGGGTATTGATGCATTCTTTTTAATGAAAGATGATGAGTTAGAGCTGAGCTAGACAATAGTAGCCTTTAGTATCTAACAAGGCTAATAGGTAGGCAATGAGCTAGACATTACTAGCCGCTAGTAATCGATAAGGCTGATTTATCGGTTGTTAGTAGTTAGTTAACTCGTTAGTTAGGTAGTTAGTAAATAAGAGGAGTTCCGAGAAAGGTGGGGACTCATTTAAGCAAAAAATAGATTCTCTCTCTTCTCAATTCTTCTTCTTCTTCCTCTAGATTTCTCTATTCTTCCTTCTTCCGTAATTCTGTTTTTTTCATTTTAATGAATTTGTTGTAATGATTTCATTAATAACATTTTGTAAACTCATTGTTTTCAATTGATTTCAATAAAGATCAAGGTTTCATCGTTGTTCTTGCAATTTATTAAGTAGCTTTTCTTTTATTTGAATTGTGAGTTGCATCATATACAATGCTAATTTAGTTGTATTCTATCTCATTTAAATTTTTTGTTCATGAACTATTTAGTTTTTATGGGATGTTGAATAAGATTTTCCAATCTAGCTTTGCTTTTCTAGAGGAACAAGACTGAAAAGCTGTAGGTCTCAGCTTTCCCATTGCACACTCAAATAATAATAATAATAATAATAATAATAATCACTGTTACTCTGTAAGACGTCCTGGGACTTTCTTTGTTTTTTTAGAACAATGAGTTATTTTTTCAGCTCTGGATCTCGCTAGCAATGTTATGCAAACGTGTTCCTCTTTCTTATAATATTTTGGTATTGTGTTTGTGGCTTTCTTCATCGGAAGGCCTTATAATAGATGCTGAATCTGATATTACCTACTGATATATATATATGAACAGTCTAGTTGAGTACTATTTTGATAAAACGTGGAGTACAAATTAGTGAGTAGGAACAAGAAGCCCATTCCATGCAGTATTTGTCGATCAATGAAAACCACTACATGGGGTGTTGAATCCGTACAGGTAAGGAGGCCACTTAAGGCATAGTTGCCTGGTGTTTTAGTTTTGTATTTTGAGATTTGGGGAATACACAACCACTATTAAGTTGTTCTAGTTGGGGATGAGATTAGGGCAGTTTCATGGGAGGTCAAGATGTCATGTTATATAACTCATTGAATGGGTTAAGAAAGTCTTTGATGAAATGGCACACCCCATTATACAATTCTGGGATTGTATTCGGCTGTCCTGTACAAGTGCATTACAGATGTAGCTGTGACCTGGTGCACTTGGTTCCTGCAAATGAAACCTAGAGACTTATGGCGTCGTTTTCCTCTTCATAATGGTTCTGTGATTAGAATTTACTCTCTCTCTCTCTCGGTGAATGATAAGATAGGTCCCAAAAAAAAAAAAAAGAGAGAGAGAAAGAAAGAGAGAAGAAATTAATTGCAGAGGGCATTTCAAAACCACTAACATGTTAGTGCTGAATTGTAATTATAACATGCTAATAAGCGCAGTGAACGTGGCATATCTATCAGTAGTTAACATACAACAAAATAACTTAAAGCTCCTCCATCTATTTCTGTGGGAACTTGAGTGATGCAACAAATTATCTTGACGGATTTTGGTGGCCAATTTTTTAAGTTTGGTTCATCAAATGGGGCAGCCAAATTACCAAAACTTGTAAGTGCTGCCGTCAAAAGAAGCTGCAATGCAAAATCTCTTTCATTGTCTGATAGTAGCTTCCCATGGCCTGATAAGTTTACATCTTACAAGGGCTGCAAGGTCTTTGCCATAAGCTCTTTTATTTGCTTTCAGCCACTGCATCTATGTAGTTGCTTTCAGCGCCTAATGTTAACAAGTTGTTCCTCCACATTCGGCATCGAGTGCCATAGCAATTATCTATACTCTGTACAAGAGGACAAAACTGTTAAAAGTGCGCATGAAAAAGTGCACAAAACCAAAAGACACTCGATAAGCAACAAAAGCCAGAAGTGAAATCAGCAAAGCTTCGGTTCATGCGTTTTGTCACATTGGCAAAAGCACGCAACTGAATTCTGAATGGTCATTTAAAACGTGATGATCGTGAACAGACACCCCCATAGATACAAAAAAAGGCAAGGACATATTTTGTTTATGTTAATTTTTATTTATATTTTTGTTATTCATTTTGCATGGCACAAGAACAGATTTGCATCTTGGACAACTAAATCACCTTTTTGGCATAGATCAGTCTTTTCTTTTTTTGGTAGGACACTGCTTTTCATTCAAAATCAATTAGATGCATTTGAAAGTGCATTGCATTTTATACCTACATGCATTCGAATCAACCACAGCGGTCCAATTCATACCTGTCCTGCTGAAGCTAACATCTGCAGGTAATCTAATTTTGAGCTGGTTGTCTACCATTTTCACTGGACACTGATGAAATGCCCTGCTCAATACTCTGGATGGTGAAAGCAAATAGCAAGGAGAGATTTAGAAAAATAAGATTAGCTAGTCAAGAAGAAACTTGAAGAAAATCAACTGCTAATACGTTGAGGGATAGTTTTCTAATGTTCAAGGAAACAAAAACAAGGCAGCAAAACTGGTGATACTGGATGCTTAAATGCTGTTTCTTTGTCCAAAGCATTAGAAAGAGATGGAAGAGTAAATCAATCAAAGAACTACTTCCTAATATTTTTCAAACCTAACCATAATCTTCGGCAAAATGCTACCACTTCAGAGATGTCATTGGAGAACTAAGAAAGGAGAAAAAAGAACAGAAAGAACGAAATGTGCAAGATGAAGAATAAGAGAACTCTTCAGAGGATATTGAAGCAGCAAATCAACTGCCTCACACCCTAGGACAGCAGCTTTTCAAATTCCATGCTGGTGTGGGAGAACAACAATATGACATTGGAACGGGCAATTGATCTCCAATTTTTCTAGGTGAATGATCAACACATTTCAGAATGCTGATTATAAAACTTTACCTGAAGAAGATAGCCATGCAGCCAGTCCAGTGTTTGAGGGAATGTTGTGGCTGATATATTGGCAACTGTCAGACCCTGTTCCATGAAAATTTTGATGCATTTTAGGAGGAAAAGGAAGGGGGAAATGGTGCTCATAGAACTTTCAGACACCTAGTTAAAATTTTGAGAAGATCTCACTCAGCTGGTAGAATGACATCCAGAAACAAATAACACTAAGAATAATACTATACAGATACCAACCTATTATTTCTGTGAGAGTTTAATTGTTTTCTTCATTTATTTCCTTTAAAGCATAAGTAACCCTACTAGTAAGAGCATTTTTGGACCAAATCATAGATTTGGACAAACAGAAAAGAAGAGTCAATTATCGTGTGATTGAAATAGATCTGTCACCCATGTTCATATGACTCCTCACTTCAATTTAAATCAACCATAATGCTCTCCAGCCCAAATCAAAAGCTAGTGCCCAAGCATGACAATGATTCATGGAATCCATATATTGCTATGACCCAAGCATCGAATATCATGAATAAAGGTTTCCCAATTTTCGTCAAGGTACCTGATTTCTTTTGACTTTAATGTCCAAATTAGTTACTTGGCCATGTCATCAAATACAATAACTCTAGAAACAAGACATCAAAGCAAAACTTGTTCTCTATCAATATCACAATCCAACTTTTGAGCACAATATTTCTAATTTTAGAATCAACTAAATTTTTTACCTGCACTGCGCCATGGATTGAATAAAATATATAAAATCATATAGAAAAATTATTTCAGTTTAATAATTTGTTTTATGATAAAAAACAATTATAATTTTTAAATGAAAAAAATTTATATTTAACTATTTCTTATTTGTGTTTTTCAATTTTAGAAATAAATAATGAAGCAAATAAATTATTGATTTTTCTAAAATTTTACCACCTAATTGATTGTTGGTTTTTTTAAAATTTCAACACCTAATATTATTAAGAAATTAAAATTAAAAAAACAAATTCAATGTTTAGGGAAAAAAAAAAAAGGAGGCCAGCCGTTTATTGTTCATGTGAATAGTAAACGGACAGAAATTAAAAGAAAAATAGTGTTTAGAGAAAAAAAAAAAAAGAGGGCAATCCGTTTACCATTCAAATGAACAATAAACGAGTAAAAAAAAGAGGGGGGAAAGGCCAACGAGTGCTGGCAAAAAAAAAAAATAAAAACTTAAAAAACAAAAAAAGCCAAAGTAATATAGCAATGAACAGTGATTAACACTGTTCATTGCTACAGATGAAAAATGATTTTTCTTTAGTATATAGTATTAGATTTTTTACCTACTCTATGTCGCGGGTTGGATAAAATATATAAAATCGTTTAGAAAAATTATTTCAATTTAATAATCTGTTTTATGGTAAAAAATAATTATAATTTTTTAATAAAAAATTTTGTATTTAACTATTTCTTTTTTTTTTAATTTTAAAAATAAATAATAAAGGAAATAAATTGTTGGTTTCTTTAAAATTTTAACACCCAATTAATTGTTTGTTCTTTTAAAATTTTAACACCAAATACTATTAAGAAACAGAAATTAAAAAAAAAATTCAATGTTTAGAGAAAAAAAAAAAAAGATGCAAGCCGTTTACTGTTCATGTGAACAGTAAATGGGTGGAAATTTTTTAAAAAAATTAAATGTTAAAAAAAAAGGAGGGCAGGCGTTTACTGTTCAAATGAACATTAAACGGATTGTTTGGGGGGGGGGGAACGGGTCTAGCCAAAAAAATTAATGGAAATTAAAGAAAAAAACTGTAGCAATAAACAGTGATTTACACTGTTCATTGCTACAGTAAAAAACCATTTTGCTTTAAGATATAGGATAATTAGTTCATAATTATCAATTAAGAAGCAAAGCCACAAATCTCTATTGCATGCTGTAAAATAACAAACACATATGAAGAAGCAAACCTGTGACTTGAAAGAGCAGAGATAGTCCTGAATGATTTTCAAATTGGTAATTAACCTATCTTTGTCCTGAAAACATAAAAGCTGTATATGTAAATATTCTGAACAAAGTTCAACAACAGATTATTTACTGGAATGCACAAAAAAACTCAGTTGAAAATTTGTGAAATTAGCAAAGAATCGACACAAGGATATGGAATAAAAGAAAATCAATAAAGACTTGTTTCAAGAAAATGTTGCCTCGCTTTTGACCATAACAAAGTGGCATAAACGTTTCTGTTTGATACTCCTATAATATGTTTTTCCTAGGCATTTTTCCAGAGCACATACATAACGGTAAAATAATTTCTAGAAATATCTATATAACCAACTTATTAAAATTTATATTGTAGAGAGAAAAAAATTATTAAAATTTATATTCTAGATTTGTTTCATTAGCAAGCAAAGTGTTGAAACAAGAAGCTTGTTAGTGAGATAATAGCAAGCTAGACTTCATTTATTGAAGTGAATAAGGAGTTGTCCAGCCAACTTCCATGTATTAAGTAAAACAAAAGTGTTAGGCGGGCAAACAAGAAGCTATTATCTGCCATCTTAATCCAGTCTAGAATTATTTGAGCTTGGCAACATCTTGCTTGTTTTGCAATTTGCTATTTTTGACCCACTTTCCCGCACACCAAATGTGTCCAGGAGTTGCTGCATTTTCCATCAATGCTCGATCTTATTACCATTCATTGTTTTCATCCTGCTAACCTTCATGCTATAATTTTCAAATGCCTTTTGTATTTGAAATTGAAAAACATGGAAGTGCTTCACCAGTGTCATTGACCATTAACTGACTTACGCTTCTATTTTTGTTTTTACACTTGAATGAAAAACCATGTTACTTCTACTACATAAACTAATTTGCCACATTTTCAACTAGGCCTGTTAAGGTATTGGCTACCAATCAGATAGCCTCCCGTATCCCCTAACTTCCCACCCATCCATCCCCAGATATGTACCTGACAATGTGAGGCCTCCGATTTGGAAATCAAAGTTTAACCATGGATTGTCTCATTGATTGTTTACTAATATTTAACCCTGTTAACTTATTAAAACTTGGTGGATTGCCTAAATTTGAAGTAGGCAAATGAGAATAAGAACTAAGCAGTCTTTGGTACCTCGACAGGGCATTTATCACTAAATGAACGAGTTGAGATCCACTCCTCAAGTAATGCCTGCACACAAGAAGAAAAGATTGATAGAAGAGACATATAATAAGGATGTCAGATTAAATATGCAAACTTGAAAAGTGATAAATGATGAGGGAAGGAAGTGGAACAAATACAATTCTGATATAGGATCAGGTACCATCCGTTTGATAAATAATGAGGGAAGGGAAGTGGCACGACATGATTCTGATATAGGAGCAAGTACCATCCATTTATATCAAGAATATGACGAAATTTTTGACAAAAAAAGAATAGAAGTACAAACCTTATGGTCGAATTCAGCCATCTTCAGAACTATTGGTATAATTATTGGTTCAGGACCAGATTTTAAGCTAACAGAAGTCTTTCTATCTCCCTCAAGACCTTTAACAGTTTCACCTGCATGACCAAAAATCCAGGAATGGAAACTGTCACCCTTAGGTCACTCATGCATGCATTCAGACTTGTGATCAAGTAAAATGATAAGTTAGAAGAGACTAGTAGAATATTGAACCTGTTATCAAAACCCATAGTGAGAATTACCTTTATTATCAGGAATGCTTCCAGCTTTATCTGTAGATTCCTGAGAATCCACAACTTTATTCACCTGGTTAACAGATTTCCCTTCTTCTGAGGTCAAAAGACCAGGAGTGCAATTTTTAGTATGATTTCTACTAACACTTGTAGAATTATTTTCCATCTGTCTTGCAGGATCATCATCCAGAGTCACTGAAACAGGGTTTGTCTCAGATTTTTCTGGCATTTTAGCTGGTAACTTATTTTCTTCATCCATCAAGTAAATGCTTGGATCCAAATGTATCCCCTATCATTATTTGTCAGAAACAACTGCAGATCAGATAGGAGTGCTCGGAGACATTATTGTGCCTAACAATCTGATAACAAGCATTTCAACTTTTAATGAGATGTTTCTACATTGAAAATGTTTTGAGTATTATCAAGTCAGTTTAACAGTCCTTTCAGTTTTGGGATTTAATCACAACCTAATTGCACCAGATCTGAACACGGAATACCCTCTTGCACTACCTCACCTTTGGCAGCAGCATCAGTAGGTGGTCAGAACTACACTTTCTTTCTCTGACTCCCCCAGAGATCAATAGAAGGCATAATTACTCATCTTTTCAACATTGATTAGTTCCCAATCATCTTCTTTTCTTTTACAAAGTACAGAAATGAGAAGAGATTATAAGATTAAGGAAGCAGGATCAGACATCATCCTTAACAGAAAGTGCAAAGATACAAAATCAAAACAAATTGGAGCGCCAATTAAAGGTCAAATAAAGGTCCCTTCAAAAGCCCCAAAAGGAATGTACAAGAAGGAGACCAGTCAAACAATTTCACAGTTTTGTTTTATCTGAAAACTCAAATCATTGCAATGGTACCATACTTACTATGACAAACAACATTAGACCATATGATGTATGGTTTTGTTAGAATCTTTAACAGAATGAAAGACTGTGTGCATAGATGGTAACAACAAAATAGGTGTTGATTGGAAGTTTTGATGGTACAATCTAATCTACAACCTACATAAAAACGGAAAATTAGGCATACCTCAATTATAATTGGCTTTCCATCTTTCATTGCTTTCTTCAAATCACCAGCCAAACCTATGAAACAAGCATCAAATTAACAAATCAAAAACCCATGCACTTGCAGAACATCTAGCAAAAGTAAAACAATTTGTAGTGGAAGAAAGAACATCTTTGAAATCCTATCAAATAATTTAGACTACCAAGCACATCAAATGGGTTGAAAAGGGAAGGAGGAATTTTTCAAATAAGAATGGAAATCAAAGAGCAAGATGGCTAAGCTGACAGACTACCTTTACGAACAATTCTGCATTCTCTACAAAATTCAGTAATTAACTCCTCAGAAGAGCTGAATTCTCGTGCCCATACAGGAGTAGATGCCAATGGTGCACTAATACAGATAAAGAGAAGAATGAGAGGTCTAGTATGGCCCAGAGTATAAAAAAGGTTAGGCACTAGCTAGCATGGCCAATAATCTTCATCATAGGATACAATATCATATACTGGAGACAACAATAAAGTGTCAAAAAAATGGAAACCTAGTTATATATAACTCCAAATCCCTTATTTCCAGTCAACAATATCAATGTTTGTAATAAGGAATCTTCCTTATAACCTTCCTTGCTCCTTATCTGGCATGCTAGGTAGCTCAGCATGCTGCTGATATTCTTAATTCCTTTAGACAGAAATGCTTCTAACATCGGAAATAGAAACCATGGAATTAAAAATGGAAAGACAGGAAATAAACATACTCGGTTGACGTTCGCAGCAATTCATACACCATATCTGTCTGTGGCATGAAAAAACATACATGTCAAAGACATCAGTATTGCACCCAAACAAATTGATACTTGAAAAGACAATAAGGGAGGCAGAATTGTTCATAGCTAGGTGGAAGGCAGGACCTGCAAGACATTAGGCAAATTCAGCCGTTGTGCAAGTTGGGTAGCTATGGTAGACTTCCCAACACAGGCAGTTCCACAAACAAGAATCACCAAGGGCACTCTTTGATGGTGAAATCTAAAAGGATATGACAAGGTAAAAAAATAATTTTTTTCTTTTTCAACATAAAATCAGCAAAAGCTTTTCAAGTTTGTCATTGTTTAAGAAGAAAGGGATAATAAGGTAATAAAATTCTTCTGAGCAGCCAAAAGTCAAGTAAAAACTGAGGATGGAACTATAAATTACCTTGTCATCATCTTGTAACGATTTATGTACTCTTCTCCATACCCCCGCCGCTCCATAAGCTGCAAATGGACTCTTATGTGTGAGGAGGGCGTATGAAACTAAATCCAATATTCAGAAAAGTCCTGAAAGTATTCTTGCACTCAGTGCAGTCCTTCCGTTACAGTCATAAAAAGAAAATGGCACGCCAAACTCCTCTTATACAGCAGATTGTGCCATTTGCTATCCATAGCCATATAACAATCGTATCATTAAAGAAGGAAAAGTCACATACCTTGAATAGATTAGCTTCCAAATCAGACTGAGAGCTGCAAAAATAACACAAGAGATTGACCATTACTTGAAAAATCAGGAAAAAACAAAAAATTGATCAGTGAAAACCTTCAAAATATTATCACGGGTTACATTTTACACTTTAACCAACTACATAAAGGATACTAAAAGGAGCAAAAAGAACGAGAAGGGAAGATTCGCATTACACATCGAGGAGACTGTTATCGATGAGCAGCTTCTTGAGCTCAAGAGCAATTTTAACAGCTACATGATTCGGTATCTGAAATTGCCAACGCAAACAATAAAACAAACCCAACACCTTAGTCAGGATCATCTTCTCAAAGCCCACAATTCAAATGGCACACCAAAAATCCAATTCAGAGCGGAAAAACAACCAACTATTCATTAGCCGCGGTACATATATACAATGGGAGAAAAAAAAACTCAGGAGGGCAACTAAAATTTGCACTCTACAGAATGAACAGCAGATTACTTAAAAAAAAAAAAAAAAATGGGAGGGAGAAGTTAATAATTTGAGACCTTAGTGACGGTCAACATTCTGCTGAGCAAGAATCTTGATAAAACATAGTAGTGATCAGCGTTATCACCTAACCATACCTTCACCTGTATATATATATATATATATATATATATATATATATCAAAAAAAAAAAAAACATTATCAATCCATTTGAATTGGATTGAATTAGAGGGTCAGTTTTATTTTGGTTTTAAAAGAAAATTAAAGAAGCAAGATCAAAGGACCTGACCTTGACAAAGTCGTATTTAGAGGAAGCATTCCGAGAAGAAAAACTCGGAAAAGAGGATAATCGTTCGTTGTTTCTTGAGTGATCGAAGCTGCCTTCTTCCTCATCTTCTTCTTCGGCACTGTTGTGATTGCTGTGATTAGGGCTTACTGATATCACCACTTCCTTGCCTTTGCTCATCTTCAACATGATGCACTTTCTGCACTGTCACTGCTGCTGAATAAGAAGACTTCAGTTTCTGTCTCCTCCGATCTCCTCCTTCCTTTTTTTCCTCTTTTGGCACGGACGCTGATAAGAATTTTAGGCGCAGTTAAAACAATAGTTTTTAAACTATTACCTCGGCTGACGACGATGACTCAAAAATGGGTGAGCTCAGTATCTTAATCTTATAATTGGGGTTCAAATTAAATTTAAGGAAAGATTGTGAGAAAAAACACACGAAGTATCCAAAACCCAAACTACAGGGATTCAGACATTTAGTATTGATGTGTTAAATCAGCAGGAGCATCGTAGTTACTCAACCAAATTTGCTAGTATGACACGTGTCTCCATCCAATTTATGGTGAGCTTAAATGTAATCCATCGACATAAAACATACGGGGAATACATGGCATTCCTTTGTGTCGTAGGCGGGACTGCAATAATCTTATTGAGCTACCCCATGAGCTGTACCATATGGTCTCATTCCAGACAGTTGGCTCGGCCAAACGATACTAATTCCTTCGATATGAAATGACAAATTAATCGTCTACCAAACGAGAATAGGTATATAAAATTAACTCTATTTAACTAATGATTCCAAAAGAAACTAAATCAGGTTGTGATTTTTTTTATTACTAAATTGTTCATTACGGATTGAGTTGTTTTTTTTTTTTTTTTTTCCCTTGTCATTGTGTTATAAACAACCTCTCTTTTATTTCTAATTATTCTCATTATCACTCAATAAATTTATGAAAATTCACACTTGCCCTCAATTGATTAACTTTTAAATTTTCTTTTTTAACTCTTTTTTTATCATTTTTCTTTTTTTCTCTATATTATAAATGATTTTCTTTTTTATTCTTAATTACACTTATTGTCACTCAATCGATTTGCGAAAATCCACATTTATCATTAACTTATTCTTTTTTTTATTTCTCTTTTAATTTTTTTTTTTTTTTTTTTGTCAATTCACTTTTTTCATTCAATGTTATTGTCATTGCCTTTTTTCTTTTTTTTTTTCTTCCTTATTTCCTAAGAGAGGAGTAAATTGCTATGCAAGAGTAAATTATAAATTAGTCCCTCTTTCTTAGGAAAACAAATTAATTAGTCTCTCTCGGTTTTAAAAATTAATGTTTTTGTCCTTTTTGCTTTTTTTTTTTTTTACTCTTTGTTTTAAGAAATAGAAATGAGAAAAAAAGAAGATAAAAATATGAAAAAGATTGATAAGAAAAGAATATATTTAAAAAAAAATTAGTCATAGTCAATCCTAGTTAAAAATATTAAATAATTATCTTTTGAAATCAAAATGACTAATTAATTCATTTCTCAAAGCAAGAGAAACTAATTTATAATTTATCTATTGCTATTTTCACATTAACTACATGAAAATAGTACAAGTAATATATAATTTGCAACAACAACAAGATTTTTACGGTTAATAAATATATCCATGGCGATTAATAATTTTATATTTTGTTAGGTCGCAAACAAAATATAAATGTATAATAACCAGGTGTCGGGACCCATTTAATTTGTATTGTTATTGTATGGGTGAGGAATTCTTGAGTAAGTGTGCCTCCAATCAAACTCGTATGAATGGTTATCTAGCTTCCATTGTAATTAATTATTGACGAGTATTTAGTTTAGAATTATTTTTTTCATTTTTTATAATGGTTGTAAATTTAATATGCCTTGACAATACTTTTCTTCTTTTACTCTTTTAACTATTAGCTATTAATTATTAAAATCAATTCTTGACTACCTAATAAATGATTACGGGTTGTAAAGTTTTATTAATTAAAATACTAAAAAGAGAATGCTAATTTACAACACCTAATTGTGCTCGCTCACTATCACTAAATTCTACTATTTATTTTCATTGTTTATTGGTATTTTTATGCTTTAATCTCTCATGTTTTTATTAAAAAAAATTTGATCCCAAACTTTATTTGTATTGCCATATGGTCCCCGAATGCTTATAGGAGACAAAATAGAGGAGAAAGAGAGAAGAAAGGGTCATTCCCATCATATTTATCGTCGATGTTATCACTAATTTATTCATCTTGAAGAATACAATCTATTAGTGTTGGTTACAAGTCATGAAATGGTTTGAAGATGTAGATCATGATCCGAAAATATTTCAAGTTTTTTTAGTTTGATTTGAATTTTTATGTATTTTGTGTGAATTAAAATGAATTTTGAGACTTTAAAATAGTTTTTTTTTTTTTTACATTATTTTTGTGATTGTAAATTATTTTTGAAAAAAAAAGATTGAATTTGGCTTTCGAGAAGCCGAAAACAAAAAACACGATTTTTCGACAACGTTTTCATTGAACACTAGCTCGCTAAATATTGTAGTATTTTAAAAAAAAAAAAAAATCTTTCCCGGTATGGTTTGCTCCTCTATGCCAAGGCACACGAGCCTCGGTTCTTAGTCGGGTATCTTTTTTTTCCTTTTTTTTTCAACTTTTTTTCTAAATATTTGTAGGCAAATATTCTAGAATGTCGAACGCTATTTTTCTTTTTTCTTGTGCGAGTTTAATGAGAAATATATATATATATATATATATATATATATATATATATATATATATTAAAATAAACATATACTTTAAATTATTTTATTTTTATTATTTAAAATTTATTTCTTCGATTTGTCATTTCTTATGGAGATTGTCATCCAATTCATTTTTAATTTGAAATTTTATTTTTTAAAATATTATTTATTGTTCTCTATATTTGGATTTTTAAATAAAATATTAGAATGTAATTTTTTTGTTTTAAAAAATAAATTTATATAATTTATATGATGAACTCTTAAAATTTTTAAATGATAGTAGCATATATATATTCGGAGAATTTGTATTAGATTTTTTTTTTTTGAAAAAATAGTTTACAAAATAAAATTTTAGTTAAAAATTCATGGATTTTTAGATTTTTTTTTTTAGATTATTACAAGTTTTTAGTTATGAATCAAGTAAATAAGAATAAATATTTTTCTTACAAAAAAATTATGAAAAACATAATGAATAACTAGTTAAACGTAAAATTTTAATAAAAAATAATAAAATTGAATAAATTTTTTTTAATCTATGTTTCAATATATTTTGGTTGATTTACAATGTTGCACAAATCTTCAAACTAAAATAATTTTACATGTTCTATCCAACTCATAGCGTAACGCGAGTGAAAACCTACTAATTACAAAGCCACCACTCATTTAGAGCAAATTTTATCAATCAAAATCAGAGCAAATTCTATGTTGCAATTGGAACACAAATACTCTGGACATCAAGAAAATAATACTATTTTATCCATTTTTCAATGCAACTCGAACCGACAACACCGTATATAATAAATAGCACAGGGATTTAAAAGTTTCAAGCTATGAATCTCTTTGAATTCACAACTACTATTTAATAGTTTTCAAATATTTTACTTACTATGTACAATTTTACTCCAGCTATCATCTTTCTCAAAGCGTTAATTTAGATACCGGAGGGTCTTTTTATCCACAATAAAGACTTGTTTTATAGGTATCACGGTTAGCGAGCTTAGAATCCACCATTGAATTCATACATTGCACTCGGCCAAGGAAAAACCATCTTACATGTCATTAACCGAGGTTCACTACCTCGTTAGTGGCATTGTATATTGGGAAGTATTCTAAAAGCTAGTTTCTTAACTTTCCATACAACCTCCAAGTTCCTCTATAACCGAAAACCGGGAGATGCCAAACTATGGCACTACAAAAGATTTTGCTAGCATAAGTGTACAACTAACCAAGTTTCTTCAAGTACAACAACAAGTCCGAAGCTAACGAAAGCACATATTTTTATACAAGAGCAAATCAGAATCCTCATTATTTTGTTTCTAACACCGCAAACATCATTGCTAACTCAACCACATGAGGTAGAGCATTCATTGCCTCTTTGCCAAAACACATGTGGTGTAACGCCCCCGCCCCAGCCATATTTCTACTACCCAAGTAGGGTACTAGACGAAGCGCGTTACGCCGACATACCCTAAACTCTAAGTAGTTCTCTTATGATATTTTTAAAACTTTAACAAGACATTACGTATATAACTCCTTAAGATAAAATTTACATCACATAATTAAATATATTAGTAAAACATTACGAGCAATATTCAATTTCTCACGAACTCCATACCTCAAATTTACAGATAAAATAAAAACTAATATATGGTGCCTCACATGAGCCGGTTAGGAGGAGCCAACCGCATCCGTACTAACTTGTCCTTTTCCGTCACAACATAAAAATAACAACGAGGTGAGCCGAAGCTCGGTAAGTAGGGTGATGCACGTGATATGCAATGTTGTTTTGACTTCCCACCATACTCATAAATTTTAATCTCGGGTACCTTGGGTATTAGCTAGTCTACTCTATTTATCATCCGAGTGGTCCATAGATCACCTTCGCTACAACGGAATTATCCCTCGTTGTAACTACTGTTAGCGGGAATCCATCGTCTAACAGGTGCAAGCACACGACTTGATTTCATCCGGATGATCCTCGGATCATCTTCTACTACAACGGAATTACCCCTCGTTGTAACTACTATTAGCGGGAATCCATCGTCTAATAGTGCGGGCACACAACCTAGAGTACTCGGACTACTAATACCCATTTATTTTTAATTCGGTTACCAAACAAGTGTCATTTCATGACTCGATGATTTTTCTCAACTTATTCCACCCCCAATGCACGTGATGCACATGATGACATGTTTAATCACATTCAACTAAACTCGGGTACCAACCCTTCTTTCTTAAGCCATACTCATGGTTCAACCAATACTCGGGATTCACCCGTCGCTCACATACCAATCATGGTACTCATAGCGGGAACACAATCTCCACTCCTTAATATTGTTCATTAGTTTC